AGGTTTAAATTCTTCTAGTTCCTCCTCCTTATCTTAGTAATATATAGTATTAATATAATAAGTAGCCTCCCGTCTATAGTATTCGTTTCTAGAGTAGATATATAAGGCTTCCTCTAGCCTCTTTATCTATAGATACTACTCTCCTAATTCTATAGAAGAAAAGGGCTATTTTTTAATCTTACGTTAAACCTTAGACTTAAGGGCGCCTAGAATTCTACGCTATATCTTATATTTAGAAGGTATAGATTATAGAAGTCGTGCCTTTTTAATAATAGTATTAATAAGCTTTAAGATAGATCCGAAATGATATTAAGTAAGGTTCTTCTATTCCTTTCTACGCTATTCGGGGCGATTAGTAGAGATATATATTTAATATATAATATCTAGAAAGCTATCTAGTATTTAAGAACTACCTAGGTTATTATATCTATAGACTTCTATAAGGCTACGCTAAAGGGTATAGATATACTTTAATATATATATTCTATAGATTTATAGTTTCTTAAACTTAGGTATAGCTTTCTAGTACTCTACTAATTCTATAGTATAAATCTACTTCTAGATTAATAAGCACTATTCCTTATAGGCGTTATCTCTAGTTTCTTCTAAGTATATATTAGGTACTTAGAGTAGAATATAGCCTCTTTTTACTAGTATAGCTAGACTCGCCTAGTTAGGGTTATTAAGGAGGAGATTATTAAAGTCTCTTACTAGTTCTTCTCGAGTAATATAGTCGTTCCTTATTTATAACTCGAGTTAATTAGTATATATATTAATTAGTACTAACGTACGAGCGTCTCTAGTAAGGTTCCTTATAGCTAGGTTAGCGTTAAGGAGCGCGGTAAGCACGTTAATAGTATTTAACGGCTTATTATAGGCGCGTTCTATATTTTAGGGAGTATTAGCTCCTTCTATAGAGATATCGCCGTCGTAATTAGAGTTCTATAAGAAAGATATCTTAATATAGCTTAGGTAAGGAGGGAGTTTCCTAGGGTAATAATTATCTTCTAAGTTGGAATTATAGCGTTAATTTATATTAATAAGTAGCTAGAATATCTATTACGGACATAGGGGGAGTTAATATATATTTTTCTTACGTGACTCTTTTAGCTTATTTTATAATATATTACTATCTACTAGAACTATTAAATTTAGTCGTTAAGCTTTATTACTATAATTTCTATCTCTAAAATTAGGATATATCGCTTTAGAGAAGGGTTTTTATATTAGACTCTAGGTTTGTTCTTATTATTGTCTAGTAAGTTATATAGTTTATTATAAGTATTAAATATTTTTAATAAGTTCCCTTATATAAGGGGTAAGATAACTACCCCTTAGAAGGTATCGCCAAAGCGATAGCCTCCCTAGGAGGATAAAAACCAGATTTAAGCTACTAGATATAGGAACTTTAGTAAATTAGACGTGGTAAAATTAATTAACGTGTCTACTAAGTCTATCTAAGTACTATATATACTAGCCTAACGCTGAATAAGATCTAAGTAACGGGGATTACCTAATAGGAATCCCATAGTCTTTGTAATGTAATGTCACGTGTCTACCCCTGAAGACAACCCCTGGTGTTTTGCGACTCCAGGGGTGCCTGCCATAAGCCCGGTCACGTCCGTCTCATCTCAAGTGTCGCAATTTCAGACCTCGACCTGCAAGATGCGTCTGGATATGACTCGTGGTCTAAATGGGTCTCTAATACCATCCTACTCGTCGACTGGATAGCTCTTGCATGACACTGCAAGCTTACATTCATATCACACAGCGGAGATAACGTGTATTCCGCGTACACGCTGAGAAATCAAGTCTTCGAACACTATTAAACTTATTCATGAACAAATAGCCAGACTTTATATGGCATGTGCATATATTCTAGTATTCTAATCTCCTTATTTAAACCCTATTTTTCCATGTATTAGATATAAAATCACTATACATTGGTTAGGTCTCGATTCTAAGACTTGTTCTTATCCTCTACTCTTTTTTAAGCTCTCTATTACTGTCGTGTAGTCTTATGGTTGTATTTAATGGAAGTAACCTTTTGAATATAGATCCATCCTAATATCCGTAAGAGAGTAGAGGATAATAAAAGATGGGTGGCTTTCATACACTTTAATATCTATGTATGTCTATAGTATCGTACAGTAAAATATGGTATTGTATATTGTTAAGAACATCTTAGGGTTTGTCTCTATTCAATTTGATCCCACTATCTCCCATGACCCACTGCCTCTATTCTCTACTCAAACCGTACCTGAATCACCCAATCTTTCTAGTCTCTCAATATCTACTTAACGACTATATCTATTGATTACATTCTCTCCGAAGCATAGTTACGCTGCATAAAATATATGTGTCATGTCTATTATATCACATTGTGTCGTACCACGCACATGTTATGATGGCTGTTTGACTATTTAGCTACCTATTCACTTATTAGGCGCTTACTATGCCTACCTTCGCGTACGTGTACGTACACATACATATAGTTTTAGCAATGGGAAATAGGACGAAAGGAGTTAAAAGTTTCTATTGTGAAGGGATGGTCACTAGTTCTCGTTTCGACTGGATGTTCGATTCCGACTTCGATTCTAACTACATTATCACCGTACTAAGTCGCATACTTATATACATGGACCATTATACTCGATTCTACGTCCACCTCATGCTGTCTTTAGTCCCCATCATGGGCAGGAACAACCACGAATGGGACGATATCATCCGCTATACACATATATCGTTAGGTAGACACATATCTACGCAAATCCATATACAATCCTTTTCCAACATACTATTCCTAATTGAACTCATCTTACTGAACTATAACCCATCTCTTTCCCCCTGTATCTATTCTCTCGCTAATTAATCTCCTCCTCCTCGAACCCATATACGTAGTATGATGGAATTACCGTCTATAGCCCTCAGCTACCTGCCAAATATAACCCGCCATCTTTTATCCCAGCATAGCCAAGGTCATGTTTCCCTGGCTTCCTATATTTTGTTTCAATTACCTTTTCATAGCTTATGTTTATCATCGACTAGCCTAGGGAGTAAACAAGCGAAACAAAAACCAATCAAATAAATAATATAAAAGCCCCGGGCTTAATACCTCGCCCAAGACAAGAAAGGAGGATGCAGATGTGCCTCGGTATGATATCTAGGCTATTGAAAATTTAACCCCTGTAACCCTAGTTCCATTATTTTCGCGTAAGACGACGAGAACAAGACAGGATAAGACAGGATCAGGAATACGGAAATCTGAAATCGGAAATTGTTTCATTCTTTCTATATAGTATGACTTGATGAGGGGGAATTGGGGTGTGGCTGTGTGTGTGGCACATGACGTCGAGCTCCAGGTAATTAGGGTGGCGGAATCTGTTTGTGTGCATGCTTGACTGACTGACTAATTCACTGACGAACTACCAGTATTTTCGGGTAACTTGCCGAAACGAGAATAAAGATGAATAGGGGGAATTTCGCAGCGCAACGTGTTTCAGGACAGACCATGTACACACAAAACACAAACACACAGCACGAAGCGCAACAAGACAAGGCTATGAATATCAGAGAGAAACCATGTGTACAACTTCCCTTCTCAATCGCATTTACTATACAACACATCGCGTTGCATTCGATCGCTAATAACTCTGCTTGTTGGTGTTTGATAAGGTATATGTCGACTATAACCTTCCTCACCCAAGACGCTGGGTATAGATACATGCCTCACCTCTTCCCTGAAATCTATGAAAGTTCACGTATACCTAATTCAATTAGGTAAACTCCCAATCTCCCCGAACACCCGGACTGATCACTGCGCACATGGCGAAAGATATCTACTTCGGGAATATGCACGTACGCATAGACCCGACCGCGAGGACGGTGCACGCATGGCGAGCAGGCCACAAAGGATGCATGCAGGAAACGCAGAAAAGGGTGGAGACCGCCGTCCGCGAAACCCGGTCTGTGGCAAGTGGAAGGTGCAGCTCGGTTTGTGTGACGGACTGGGGTGTGAAGTGTAAAGCCACAGTATACACAGGGGTTGGACCGTGGATGTGTTGTGCTGCATGAATGACGCGTGGCGTGGCTGGATGCGTGCGGGCGTGCATTGTGCATTTTCGTCCTGGGCACTGTTTTGGAGGTACGGAGGCGCTGGGTGGATGTAGAGAGGTATCGACAGTGTGCGATGTTCAATGTGAGCTGAGACGTTGATGCTGTCTGTATCTTCAGGGCCCAAGGCTCCGCTGGGTTTGTGTTTATGTGTGTCAAGTGTTATTGGAATTGATAGTGTCAGTAGAGCCCAGTCCACGTGTCGCTCTGCCTAGCATGCTCATGATGACAACCGAGTTCCAGAATAGACAGAATCGATAATAGGAATTGGAAAGAGAGAGCACCGTCCACCGTGTGCTATGTCTACCGGTTGATTCCCAATTAAGTCCTGGCTTGGCCATGTTCGGTAGTACGTTCCATCGATTGTTATGCCATGTGCCCGCCCGGTCCAAGCCTTCCAATACTCCCTTTCTCCACATATAAAATTCCCAATCCGGGTATCAGTGCATGCTGCATCACCTGTGAGTGCGCATTGATGGACCCGCGGTCGGCTGAACTGTTGGGATGGGTTGGCATGGCGTGGTAATGAGGCCACGCTGTATCTGCACCGACAAAAGCAGTCTACATGCCTGCTGTACAAGAGTCAGAGCCTTCTAGGAAAAGTAGAAGAGTGCATCTTGTAACGGACCGGCCTATCCCTGTTCCTTATGCGTGACGAGAACGTTCAAGTACTTTCCGCGGGTTCAGCGACAAGGAAGAGCAAATAATCACAAGTTGACGTCAAAGGAAAATGACAGTTTAGGTAGTTTGACGTTGGGGATATGAGTGCGTGTGAGGGGTTCTGGCCAGCAGTAACCAGGGTCGGGCGCAATAGGTGCTTCTCGTAGACATGAAACACATTGATCTGGGCTCCTGGTGCGATTTGTCTGTGCATAACGTTTCTGCATTCATGTTCGTGTTTCGATGACTCCGTATTCTTCCGGTTCGTCCTGCTCTTCTGCTTGGTCCTCCTCGTCGTCTGCTTGCGGCTCATCCAAGCCTTCTAGCTCCAAGAGCTCCGAGGCCTTGTCTTTGCATGAGGCTGGGGAGAAACCGTTCCCAACCTTGGTCGCGATTATTCTCCACCTGTCGTTTTCGTACTCCGTCATTGCCGTCCGAAGTTTCTGCACCTGCTTGTTCCACCCAGGTCAGTACTGGCACTGTGTGGCACATAAACAGTCTTGGTGCATGGCTATATACCCCTGAGCCAGGATCGCGACCGTCCAACGTTGAATGCGAGAGAAAGGAATGGACTCACCAATTCGTCGTTCCAAACTGTGGTCTTCGCCTTCAGCTTCGTGCAGTACCGTACTTGTAACGTGCCGCTACTGCGCCCTGGAAAGAAGTCTGCAATTTGCTTCCATGTTAAGCTCTTCTTCTCCTTAAGATCCACGAGCAACTGGTCGTCCTCAGGCGTGAACTTCAGTTTCGGACCGCGTGGACGTGGCGCAGGATCCGGCATGCCCTCTAGTCCTACGACACTGGGGGGTCCAGCTATTTGAGAGGGCGACGAAGGCTCACCACTGTAGTCCCCTCGAGAGATCTTGGCTGGTGGTGGCCCAGGCATGCGGTGATGGTGATGAGTCTGTTGTTGCCCATAGTGTAATCCTTGCGTTTGCAGTTGACCCCCTGGTGTTAGCTCTACAGCGTCTTGCCCGGAGACGTTCGATGTGTATCCTTGCATGCCTTCGACCTGTAGCGCGAGGGAATCTTGTGAGCGTGGGCGTTTGGCTCGCTGCTGCTGTGTAGAGTAGTCTTGATGTTGCGGAACGGGCCCGTAATGAGTTTGGGTTTGCGGTGGTGGGTGATGTTGCGCCATGTGGTGATACTGAGGATGATGATACTGAACGGGGCTGGCCTCGATACTTGTGGCTTGGTGGGCGATGGAGTAGTCGCGGCCCATGTGAGGCATTGCATGATGTTGAGGCTGAGGCTGCATGTAAGAGCCCTGCTCCGGCAAAGCGTGGAGGCCATGCGGGACGTAAATGTTTTGGGTTTGGAATTCGTCGGGAGGGTTCTGCTGCTCGCCGTTGTCGCCGAGGAAGTTTCCTGAGCCGTATGCTGCCAGCTTTGCGACTATGCATGGAGACTGCCCGAGCGAGTTAGCTCTGGCAGGTCGCCGCAGTGAGACCTGAGCAGCCAGAAGGGAGAGGGGTTTGAGGCACGCTGCCGTGCCAAACAAGTGTTGTATCGCACGTGTTCTTGTCTGAGCCGGTGTGTCTATATCGACGAATTTTGCATCAAGGACAGTCGGGGAGGATGCGCCATGAGCTGAAAGACTCTTATCGGAAGTACTAAGCGTGGGTATAGGGTCTGCTATAGGCTCGAAGAAGCAGGATTTGGAGTCCATGGGCCGGGACCAGTGCCCATTATAACTCTCAGTTGCGCAAGTCCCAAAGAGCATTGGATGGAGCCCGGAAGAGGATCTTTCCACAGCAGAGATCACGGTCCTGTGTAATCACTCGTTCACACTCCAGACAAAGAGAGTGAGGCCCAAGCACCAAGAAGGAGGCAAGGCAGCTCTACGAAACGGCGAGAAAATTGATATCAAAGCGAATGAGCTGGTAGGGCAAGATCAGGACGGATTCTGCTTCAAGCATCATGCGGTGCTTGTGGGCAGGGTTAAGTGGAAGCCACAAAGCTGCGTGAACAACCTGAGCGTCAAATGCTAGCTTTGTTGTTATGCAGGAGCTTGGTGGTCTCAGTGGCTGGCGGCTCGAGTGGATATCTCCCGGGCAGGCCAGGGGAGGAAGACAGCACTGGCTTCAGTGGTAATCCTTCCCGGAAACCCATAGACCGGCCCCATCTTTTCCAGAAGTCCCTTGGAAATATGGCTGTCAAAAAACGGCTTCGGCGGAGCACATGGTAACAAATTCCAAGCTAAGCATTGATCTCCTAGCGTGGCAAAGACAAAAGCAGGTCACTACAGGACCAGGTTAGTTCGGCAGTGGCTGCGGCGCCCGGTGGAAGACCAGTTAGGGCCAAGGGGCGAAAGAAAACAAGGAATGATTGTAATTGAACATCAGGATTTTATTGCTTCTCAGACAATTTGTAGACGCGCTGCACTGTGATAGGCCAAGATATCACGCCAAAGCAGATGATTGGCAGGACCAAGCGTACGGTAAGGTGACGGAGACGAATCCCACTCCAATGCATATTGAAGAGCGTGCAAGGGGTGATGGGCCCGCCATTTGGGGCAAAATGAAGCATCTAACCGTAAATTGGGGACGAGTATAGTAGTACGTTTGGGAGCATTCCGGGAGCGAAGAAACTCTACGGCAAACCCGAATGATGCCGTGTATGAGAATGAGTGCCGAAAGACGGCGAGTTGACGAGCCGCAGTGGGTCAGCGAGTAGATCTGAGGCAACCGTGGAGCTTAATCATGGCTGTTTGGCGTTGAGTTCCTAAGGTTTAGTATGCAAGTGCTGAGTTGCAGTGTGTGTTGGAGGTATAGTACCAGGCCCTTGTCGATATTCGCTTAGAAGGGCGCTCTGCTACCTAGCATGCTTTGCTTTGCGGAGATGTAGCGGGCACGATGGAAAGATTCCGAGGGCAAAGCTAGTGTGCAGCTTAGATATGCAACGGTTAGGCAGCACATGGAACGGATTGCTTTTGATAGTCGGTGAGGCTAAAATTCCAGAGGCACGGAGACAGCACTGCAAGCTAGGGCGCGGGGGGGGTTACGATGGCTGGGGCGATCAGCATCCACGAAAGCTGACGACAGCGGGAGGTAAAGCATTGACACATGGATGTTGTCAATAGATGTCCAAGCACAGGGACGGAGGACGGAAGGCGGCAGACGGGAGACGAGAGTTCGATGGCTTGAGGAGTTAGTATACGAGTAGACAGACCCAAGAGAGTATATAACAGTGCTAGAGGAAAGAAATAGTTTCTTGGGCGCGTGGGGTGAGAGCATAGGAGATAGTAGGTGCATTCATTAGAGTCACAGAGGGGGAGAGTAGTGGATGACAGTAGGTGACGATGACGGTGCTGGCGATGGTGATAGTAAAGGTGAGGAGATAGGAACAGGGACAGGAACAGGTAGACCGTAGACACTAGACGAGTCACAGGAGTAGGTTAAGCTTCATCCAACGCGTGGGGAGATAAAAGTGGGTCTTCATGTCTCGTTGCCGTTGATGCTGTTGTGGGCGAGCGGGAAGGGATCGAGAGTGAAGGTTTGGAGTGTCTTTGTTGAGTATAGTTCGTCACTCTACCCACAACCACATCATCCGTCTCTGAAGCCTGGATTCTGGTCTAGAGTTATTCGTCTCTCTAGGGTCTGCAATTTTAGTGCCCTTCTGCCGATACATGCCGGGAAAGGATTGGTGCTGATGGGCGGTCCACCGTACCAGTCTGTCTACAATTCGCTGATGGGTTCCAGTGGAGTTGAGTGGAGTCAAGTCACCAAGTGGAGTCGAGTGGAGACTGCTCCGTGTGGAGGCAAGTGGAAGTTTGGCGTGTAGCTGGTGCTCGCATCTTTTGCGTCTAACGGCATAGCAATGACGCTTGCTTGTCACATCTATCTAATAACCATGTTGCTAGCAGTCCACAACGTATACAATGTCAACAAGACAATAGCAGACACAACAGTGTGTTGTCGAGCCTCTATGACGAAACTACATTGTGTGTATTCACAGTGCGTTGAGGGTCCCAGAGTGCTGGATGAAATGAACGTGTGCGAGGGAGGTCAGAATAGGGCGGCGGGTAGGCGAGTTTGACGTCTGCATGCGAGCAGTCTAACGTCAAGTCTATTAACGTCAAGACGATCGACATGCGGCTATGTCCCGATGTTCGGATTGGCCCCTTTAGGATTTCTGCTTTCGTCTCTTCTTGCAAATACTCAAGAGTGAGGCGAGCAAGCTGGTCGTGCAGCAGATTTTACTGCTGCACCATTCATGAGGAGTATGCACATATTGCACAGTAGGAGTATGAGTGAATCGTTGTGATGTTGGTGTCGGTGTCGGCGTCGGCGTCGGCGTTATGAGTGTTAATTATTAGTTAATTGCTGTATTACTATTCATATCTCCATCAGCAACCTGCAGCTGCGCCCGAACCGGACTAGCCGCACTACCTAACTAAGTACACCCGACGGCCCCGTTTTCCACTTCACTGGCAGCGGCCCCCAGCCGCTGTCAACATCGAACACATCGCTTGTCGCTTGTCGCTTGTCAGTAGTAGTAGTATCTAGTAGTAGTCTGTAGTAGTCTTAGTAGTCAGCGGTAGCAGCAATAAGTATTAAGTAGAGTAGTTCTAGTAGTGACTGGTAGTCTGTAGTAGTCCTCTACCTACCCCCTATCACCAGCCAATCACTTGCCAATTCCAATTGCCCTTTCTCATGCCGTCTCTTTCACCTATTGAGCATTCTCCTTCTTGAGTCCTGTGACAAATCGTTGCAGAACTCTATTCCGTCCTGACACCCAATGTAGTCCATCAGCTACGTAGTCCTTCTGTGTTGATGTGGGGCTACTTGCACTGGAACACAATCCTTCGCCCAGATCTCCCATCTTCCGTTCCGCAGGACCTAATGTATTATTTCCAGCTTCTGTCGATCCGGAATTCCCGGTTGCATTCATTTCCGGATATGCCGTTCCAAGCGTGGCCATGGCAGCTGAAGTAGACCTCGTGTTGTGCGTGCAAGCTGCTGCTCTAATCACTTGAACACATTTTGTGACGAATGGCGACCGGAACGTCGCTAATCAGATCCACTTTATTCCAAAAGAGGTCTGACTTGCGCAATAGTGGAACTGAGGACCTGTCGACAGGGTTCCGGCATCATGCCTCCCGATCTCCCTCGTAAGGCACCACACTTTCAGCCTTGGAACCTTTCGTGGTGCCTTATGAGGTGTCAATTCGGTCGCTACACAATTGTGGCTTTCCAATGTTGACATCTACATCCTGTCTGCCACATCCTGCGTCTTCGCAATAACTTGCTATCAATCCTTCCGATCTTCAGTCAGCCTTGTCGTCGCACCGCACCTCGATCGCCATGCTTTTCGTGAAGGTCCCAGAGCTATTCGCCATTTACACACCCTCTCATGTAAGCTGCCACTTTGGAGTCTGAACATACATCCCCATTCTGACACTGTCATAGCGATTTTACCATTTAGCCTAATTAATCTCACTCTTCTGATTTCACTCTCGACCCACCTCTGTCCTCCATCCACTCAACCTACAATACATTCTCAAGCAACTCAGGAATGCTACTCGAAGCAGGCCGTCCATCACCAGCTTTGCACTGCCTAATCTGCTCCTCACAGCAGCTTGGGTCCCTGCTCTTGCTCTGGACCATGCAAGCCGCACGTACCGATACTTCGATGCCAACCATAATCTCTCACCGCATTGCGTGACCGTTGACCGTCTTCTCAAACCCTGACGGACATGTGCGATGCGACACCAGCCTTACGCTGCCACGAATCATCATTGTCTCGTACCCTGGCTAAGCAGACGTAGACACATCACCACCCATGTTCCACGCGCCACCGCCATTGATCTGTTGTTCCCTAGTCGTACATGGAACGCCACTTGTCACCGCCATCCTGGTTCGGATGTGAGCCAGGCCCACGCGCAGCCATGCTGCAGTCAGGGTCTATCTGCTACCAAGCTCATTAATGAGGCAGGTCATGCAAACGTGAAATGCATGCAGCTTCCACGCTGCCGTTGTCCACACCGGTTATACTGGACTCCGGAAAGCCTGCACATGCTCCATGACCCGTCGAGACCCGAATCTTATTGCCATGCACCCAGAAACACGATGCAAGCGCTTCGTGCAACGATGAACAAGAGCGCCGGGGCGTCTTTCGCGAAATTGAACACAAGAAGATCTATATGTTAGGATTGTCCAATAGCCTGTTGCCAGTCCGACCGCCTTTCCGCTGGGTATCCTTCGTGTCCGAGACGTCCTATATCAGAGATGCCATTATTAAGTTTGTTCGCTTGTTGTTGCCATGCTTGTTGCCCTTCTTCAATCCTCCTTCGGACGACGAACTCCTCACTTGTATGGAATAATCGAAAGGGACAGAAGGGTAAGGAAGAGAAAAGAAAAAGGAAAATGCCTGACACCACTTTCAAGGTGCCAACCCCTCACAAGAAACTTCCATGATCGCTAAATGCATCATAACTCTCAAAGCAGCAGACAAGAAGAATTTAGAGATGCTGTCGATCCCACAGACGTCCCACGAGCGCATGGCCGTGATCTGACCACAGAGGGTATCTCGAAAAAAAAAACCCACATACGCTCTTATCGCCCCATTGCGTTCAAAACTTTCCACCGAAATGCTCCTTCGCGTACTGTTCACACGCCTAACAAGACGTGGTCAGAAATCGTTGCAAGCATATGAGGTGTCTACATGTAAAAGTTCGCGTCATACCTTTGCGGGCTTGCCAACCTTTGCCCCAATCGACTTCCACTTATTAGCCTCGTACTCCTTGATAGCAGCAAGAAGGGCCGCGCTCTATATCTCGATGTCAGAGGCAATGTTGACCTTGAGTGTGGACTATAAATCCTTACCTCGTTCTCCGCGAACTCGGCGTAGTGCATGTCCTTTTCGGAGGCGTCAGCGACACAGCACCCATGGATGGCTTGCACGCTTAGTACGACGCGAAACCTACCTTGTACCAGTGTTTCTTCACACTTCCTTCGGTCCGTGCAGGAAACGACTACGCAGAGTGATTAGTCGGTGCAATGAAGGAGGACGACAGCCTCTAGAAGGGTTTCGATCCTTTAGAATAGAGGGCTGGATGGCCTTCGTACCTTTGCAATTTCGTTCCAGCTGAGTCCCTGGTCGCGCATCTGTTTCAACCGTTGCTCTTCTGCTGCTGTCCACGGAGTGTTTGTCCTCCCTTTCTTTGCTGGCGACGGTTGTATTGGTCGCTCTAACTCAGTGCCGCCAGATGCTGGACCCGGTGGCGCGGACGACGATGCTTGCGATGGTGCCATTGACGATGGACCCGGCACTGTCGATGACGGGTATTCCCCTGAAGCACGTCGCTTGCGATTAGTCGGCGACGCTAAATCTAAGGCCTCGTGCGAGCCTGCTGCTGATGCTGGAGCCAGCGGACGCACACCTTGCGGCTCAGTGGCGGATGCACTGGTCAGATTTTGGGCTGCCGGTGTCATAGGAGTTGTCTTCGCACCTCGTTTTGAGGTGGGTGATTGAGACCTGTGGGACACGGACATGAAGGGTCAGCATTGCACAGAGCAGGCATGGAAGCGATATGTCTATCTTGGGCGCGACATGATGGCGACGTCACTCGCAAAGCTCGACATGTAAGGCGAGCACTGGCAGGAAGGAACTCACGACATGATGGCCTGGCGCGAGTAGAGAAGCAGAGAAGAGTCAGGGAAGAAGCAGTGGATTATTGTCCGAACACAGGGCTCGAGAGGTGGGCGAGGAGGGCGAAAGCAAGACGCTCTAGATCAGCGAGCCACAAATGCTTGCGACGGTCATGCCGAAGTGACTGTAGCGGGTGCAGAGAGACAGCAGAGAGCAAGAGAGATGTTGATGGCGAGGATGGCGGATCATGGTGAGGTCCAGCAAGTCAGGTAGCTGATGGATTGAGAGATGCGAAAGTGATCAAATACACAGTGACCTACCAAACAGGACAGGCCCGCATGACGAGCGGGCGAATGAGGTTCGGCTGGGGAGTATGAAGCTGCTTAGGGGACATCTCCGGGGGCTGCTGTGGGTGCATTGGCCTCGGGAGATGGAAGTCGATGGGCTTTTCATAAAAGGGAATCGGAATGGAGGTACTTGGTACATGGTGTTGAGTGTGATGATCTGGCTGCCGAGGGGTCACTGAGACCTTGACATATGCCGTGGTAGCCTGTGCCGTACCCCAGGCCAGCTACATAGAGTACCTAATAGTTACCAGAATAACAGCCTCCGCCCGGCACGCACGCAATCACTCCCACACTCCCCAGTTAAAGCTAAAAGGAGCGCGCGACGGGCGGGACGAAAGCGGGGTAATTCCCGGCGCGGGAGAGCCCTCGCTCTGATGGATACTGACCACTGACCACTGACCACTGACCACTGACCACTGACCACTGACCACTGACCACCGACACACTCACACACTCATACACTCACCAATGGCACACATCACACACCATTCACAGCCGGTGAACTCATGGTCAGTACGTCCCGCACGTCTCTAATTGTCCCCTCAATGGTGCCATTGCACACATCCCAGCAATCCTCAACATCACCATCTGCCCTTGACCGCCCAATGGGTTTATATATATGCCGTGCATAGGAATACACACACGCACCTCCTCTATCCTCTCCAAGAAAGGGGTGGCGGACTTCGCCGTGGCGGTAAAGCGTGTAGTGCTAGTGGCTCCCCTATACCACCATTGACCAGCCTGTCGCGTCGCATCCAATTATGCATGCAGAGGATGGGATGGGATGGGGTGTATCGAATGGCCAAGAGCGAGCCCACGCGCGTGACGATTTCTTTCTTCATGCTAAACCACTCACTCGCCCCTAGGTGGCAGTGGCAGGGCCTGACTGGATAGCTGGCTGGCGTGCGGTACTAATATTATTGGCACTGTGAAATGAATGTCTCTGAGTGAGAATGTGACTTTTCTTTAGGCTTCGATAGCGATGGGTATCGCCGGTGGCTGGTGTGCAGCCATGACACACGGGCACCTTCTTTCTAATATGGATGTGCCAGGTACGCAGATGATGTTGGTGTTGAAATTCCATCATGGCTGGTGGGTGGGAGTGGTGAGAAGTCTTTGTTGACTAATCAGCAGAATACACCCGTGACACCGTGACACACATACATGTTACGGGCAGTACCTAGGTAGTATCCGGGCCGGTGGAGACGAGGCGCCTTGATGAAAAGCTTGCGAGGCAGCGCAGCGGCGTAGGCACACAGTCAACAGCCTTGGAAGAAGCATATACATAATACATGCACATCGACTTGTACATAATTACAGCACTGCTGTTCTCTGCTCGGTTTGTTCGTCTGTGCATATTATATCCTGGCGAGTAGCACCGACACCAGCAGCAGCGCAGCGCTAGACACGGTCAATATAATGGCTTGAAGAAGTGTAAATATCGAATGGAAAATATGCATGCATGCAAGAAAGCAAGCAGGCAAGCAGGCATTAATACGTGCCGATCGTGTTCAATTCGTGAAGCTTCATAGTCTGCTTGCCAAGGGGCCCCTGCAAGCCATTCCATTGCTACTTGATTTCATCCAATTAGACTTTACCAGCACGATCTGCCGCCATTCAAGGTTCTGAACAGCTGCTGACTAATAGAGACGGCTGCATGAGGTGTTCATCACTGGCCCTCTCTCTTCGCTAACACTCTCACCACATAATGCATATGCCTGATATACACGTATTCGTCTATCTGGAGCGCCGGCGGTTGAAGATAAGCTGCACAATGTAGAGAAAACTTCTCCCAGCCGCGACAGAGGCAAAAGACCAGATACTTCACGATAGAATATTGGAACGAGCTTTCGAGACTCGTGTTGACCAAAAATGCGTTGACTGACCTAGATCAAAGAGATAATCAGACAGCACACCCTCCACTAGTTTCCCGTCCTTGCCCGCGAGCGACACGGAGTATAGTCCTCCAGCTGGAAGAAGCATAAGAGCAACTAGCATCCAACCGAGAGCCTTGTTGAATTCTTTGGCTCCTTATCCGTGGAATGCTTACAAGACATTGAAGCGTTTACCAAACACGGTAGCCCGGAGTCCTCTAACCTGGCAGGCGTATGTGTATTCCGAACTGGACAACGTAGTATAATCAATCAATATAAGCCTCTTGTAGCAATATAGCATGGCCTTTGGACGGTCCACCGAAAAGGGCAAACGGAAGTCGCAGGACTCAGCATGTTTCCTCAACATATCATACTACGCTGCCCATGAATACTGTCAACACGAAAAATTTCGGGTCGTATGATCATAACTTCGAGCAGAATCTTACGGATCTATGGGTCTATTATGAACAGGGCTGGCCTGATCAAAGAGATAAAACTGGAGATTTCGGGTGTCTGCTACGGAAGAAATATTACATCAGTGACATGATTACGACAGACAAAAGGTCCTGAGATATCTTGCGAGTCTTGAATGAGCTTTGCTATATTTACTAGTGTTTCCATAGCTACATGTCGAACTAACTTAGTCAAACTTCTAGTGCTGGTTATATGATGTTCACCTAGTATCTGATATCCTACTCCACCTCCATCTCTTACGACTATGGCTTTCATTGCATTGTTTTACCTGGCATAGTGGTGTTATTGGCATGTATGTGTCCCTTTCCTGGGTTTATTCAAGGGGCCTTGGGAAGGTGTCTGAAGAGAGACGCCGGTTGTTGTTACTAACAGGCTACTAAGACTGATGATAAGTAACATGTGGAGGGTTAGGAAAACATGTCAAGGAATTCAACGATTATAATGTATACTTAAAAGTAAGATGCACGATTATTCGGTAGTACCATTGCTGTAGATTATGGCATGATGAGTGGATGAGACTCTGCACGAAACTTGTGCGTGCCTGAGGCGTCAACTTATGAGCTGGTTCTCTAACAAACTTTACTTTTACCTCACCTTGATCGACTCTGTCACGGCCGACTCCAACAACCTCCTTCTTCAAATTCATCTATCAACGTCTTCTTACGCGAGGCAATCTCCATCTCATCACGGTGCTGTCTTGGGTCTGTCTCTGCCAGATGAAGCAGCCAGGCTTCGCGACGTGTGTGCAGAAAGCCTGAACGAGCGTACTTGGTGACCGCGATCCGTATCGGGAGGTATCGACTCACTAGGCAATCTTATAGTTTACCAGTGCGCTATTCTATATTTACGCTATTCGAAAGCGTCGTGCCTTTAGCACTGTCCCAAGCGTCTACGTCTACCGCAACTTTTCGGCCGGTGTCTCGAGCCTCGACATTTGCGGCGGTCTGGGTCCATGTGTAGACGACAGCCAGAACAACCCATCAAACACACAGAGACCACGATAAAAAACCTGGGAATCGGAAGTGTTCTCAGAAGCTGTTGGTCGGGTTTGCTCAGACGAAATTCATTGCGTCAGAGGGGTGTGTCGCCAAGCTTTGTGTTGTTTGACGATGCGGTGGGCCCTTGAGACGGTCGCGGTGCCAGATGGTCCACGCCCTTGTTTGAGCGTCGTTTGGGGAGGCTTATCGCTGCTTTGGCCGTCCCGCTGCACGATTTCCATCTGGCAGATTGGACCCAGTGATATGGTGCCCAGGCTCGTGTATATGCGGAGTGTGTTCGCTCCGGTGAGGCCTTGTCAGCGTGCTCGTGGACGACGGATGCTGGTGTTGATGCTTTGTCCGTGGACAGACACTTAATAGTCTCGTGTAAGCGGACAGGACTACGACCACAAGCCGATACAGCCCGGAGGCTCGACTTATTTTTGGCAGTCTCTTCCGATGTCACGCTAATTGCTGTAAACACACGATTCATTTCTAGTCTTTCTGTTGCTGAGTCTGTTACAATTTCCCCTAGACGAAGGATTCCTACCTTTGTCTAAAGGGTAGCGTGGGTCCGTCCCTAACGAAAGACGAAACCTGAAGACTTAGCGCGCCCGCCTAAGCGATCTGATGCCTGTAGAAATGTACTGCAGAATGCGTCCGTGCAGCGGATATCTGTGTTTAGGCCTGTCGTTCTGACACTTCTCACGCCTCTCAGCTCGAGTATCTCACCACCGGGTTTTGAAACCAGCTCCATCTCGCCCACGTCGGCCGCCAACTTCATGCGTGCACGTGCCGCTATAACGGCTCACGCTACGACGAGATCGGACTCAACCCGTATTTCTAACCGCTACAGTCCACCTTTTCCGTCCCAGGGCCATTTCCAAAACATATTCTCAACACGCCCGGATTGCTAGACCCGGTGACGATCATGCATGTTTGGGGATCGCCAGGTCTGCTGCGACCTCTTTACACCTGGTACGTTTGAAAACGCTGTCAATAGTTACTCCTACTACTGAATCATTCCGATAATCATTCGCTTGGCCCACTGCTCCGGAATCATATATCTAGACTCGCCTGTTGCGCTTCTTGTTTCTCACATCATCCTGCTTCTACATTCACTCCTCATAGGTACACTACCACATAGCAGCCTATTTAATACTATCGTTCACTTCCCACTGGTTGGGCTGCCTTACATTCTTTCCACTAATCCACATTGCTGAGCAATCTTTTGCGAGTAGCTGTGCTGTATAATTCCACTCGCTTGGGCCTATTGGATTGTCAAATACGGACATTCTTTGGATCATCTTACGACATTACAACGACGTGACGACATACTATCGAGCTCCAATCATAATCATCCATCAATATGAATCACCACGGTCCTTCGATTGTGTCTCCTATCTCTGAGGTCCCGACTCTGAGGGCTCGCAAGACTGCCTCTACTGGCGGTAATCGATCCTGGTCAGAGGAAGAGGTTAGTCAACAAACAATATGCCATCAAACCAAACTAACATTGACATCAGGAAAACTACCTCTTGCAGACTCGCATGCAGAAGATGCCCTATAAGCACATTGCCATACATCTGAAAAAGACTGAGCTTGCCTGCCGTCTCCACTTTCACCAACTCTCACATGGCAGCCATCGCCGTAAACGCGCCGCCTCGATATCCTCATACACTTCCTCCAGCTCCACCGAGCAGTCTCCTTATCTCGGCCAACACCACTACCCGGAACAAACCGACTCGGTCATCGAATCTCGTCAAAGCTCCCCAATAATCTATAACACCACTCCTTCACAAAGCATTCATACATCACCCGCAAGACGCACCTCCTCCCACCAGCACAAAACTCTCCTCCCCAAACCAAGCCCGCCAACACCACGTCACTCTCCCGACCGCGAGCGTGGAGCGCAAGGCCTTCGCATCAACACTAGCGACTCTATGCTCCGCCAGACCTCCCCATCAGACTCAGCCGTCGATACCACGCGCCTTCGCGCTCTCTACGACGCCCGCCGTGCCTCCTTCTGGGCTTCCATTGCCGCCGACTACGGCCAGAACATCTCGCCCGCGCATCTCGAACACATCTGGCAATCCACCACCAATCCAGCCCGGCCTCCGACCCCAGAGCCCAGTCCCGACGGCAGTCTCCTCACGCGCCCGGAACTCAAGCCTGCTTTCGTTTATTCCACTGAGCAGCACCGTGGCTTTACCCCTGTCAATCAGTATCAATACCACAGTCAGACCCACCAGACCCACCCGGTCGCTGCGAGCGAGGGCAGGCCGCAGTACACACTTCCCCTACCCCAGCCACAGACAAAGTCACAGCCGCAATCACAGCCCAGTGCGCCCGCGCTCTCGCGTTCATGGTCTGGAAGCTCCAACGTGCCGATCGCTGCGCTATTGACATCAGATCGCGAGCCGCGCCACGAGTAGACAACCCCTCAGTCCCAATCTCCATCCTGCAAAACGAACGGTTTCAGAACCGATTATTTCCCTGCAGGCGCGTATGCGGCGTGATTTAGGTCCCTCGAATATTGCACCGCAAGACTTTTTTTATCATTGGTGGAAGTTCTTTACTCGGTGTTGTGGGGTATGTTTCGGATGGGTGGGCAGGTGTGGATGTTTTGTTTATCTATCCTTCTTATGTGCTTTTGTTCAATTTCCGATTAGAGGGGCGGTTTTGACCAGGGGAGAGAGTCGTGATCGATGTCAGGGGTCCTGGGCGCGTCCGAGGCGCTCCGCACAGGGGGGTGTAGAGCCGGGGTCTGGACAGGGGGGTGGGTGAGATGGATGAGGCGGGTTTTATGCTGATGAAGGCATCACTGGGATGGTAGGGTAGGGTAGTAAGGGTCCTCGGAGCGTAGGATAGATAGGGATTGGTATACTGCGATACTGGCTGGCATGTCGTAGTATTAGTATGACTCCAAAATGTAATAATAGATCTATACCGCTGTCCAGTAATCTAGTCGTCCAGTCGTCAAGAAGAAAGCACACGATTTCCTAAATGCATGGTATCTCTACCGCCCATTGAACCGGGCAACTATACTACCTGGCATCAACTTGCCCGCCATCGCGCACACGCATGCATACATGCACATGTGCGTGAACCGTATCCGTAGGGTAATTGGTCTATCTAAACACGCGCTGATATGCCGTGCTTAAGCATTCGTCTATTACATCGTCTATACACTATACTAAATATATACTACACTAACTACATACTGCACTATCTACATACTATACTACCTATATGCTATAGTAGCTATCTATTACACTAATTATATACTAAACCTTCTACATACTACTCTATCCTAGATAGTCAGCAGGTACCCATCTCGCACCACGCACTGCAAGACCTAAGTAAGCATATCAGAGTATTTATATCTATATACACACGAATAGACGAATCAATGAACGAGAGGAATCGGTTTATGTAGAAGCATTGTCATCGGATGTCTATCCATCTATCTATATATCTCTATGTCCGTTCATCTGTCCATGTGTCTGTCGAGATCTTTCCATCATTATCATCTAGTCTAACTCTCATACCTTGGGTTATATGTAGTTTACCTTGGTCAATTAGAGAAATAAAGTGTCTTAGGCGGGTATTTTGGTGCGAGTGTAGGGGAGAAATGACATACTTGTTTCCCTTAGTTTGGACTAGTTTAGTTGTTTCATTGGGTGGTAGAATATTAAATATGGACATATATGTATATGTATATTTAGAATAGTCAAAAGTTAGTTTTGTTATATAATATCTAATATGGACTTACTTCTAAGTCAAGATTTGAATATGGAGAATGGAGAAAGTAAAGAGAAGATAACGTATTTAAAACGTCTTATTTAAATTATAAGAACTATGTTATTTACATCTAATTAGCTAGATTACTCTGGTAGATATACAGTTTAAAGTTTTAGTTATGAATGAAGAATGTGATATAACTGTAAACTTAACCTCTACTATATCTAATAAGTTTATATAAGGTATTTCCTTATTAGGAATAGCTTAATATTAGTAATCGATATTACTAATATTATCT